AAACGGATGTTCCTGCATGTACCATGACGAAAGGTACACAAACGGAACCTTCCTCAATAAGGACGGCTAACACACAGACAAACCGTTATTGTCCAAATCTTACAACCTCCGCAACCCAAATGGATCCGTCTCCTGATAAATTATCATCAGTTGAAGAATGCAAAGGATGTGCGTTGAGCAGAAATTTTGTGCAATTCATGAAGACAAAACGTCCGGACGTTGATGCGAGGGAAGTGATAAGCATTGAAACTACGAAATCAACAGCAGAGGATTGCGCCCGCTGTAAGCTTGTAATGAACCTCATCATGAATCTACTAAGATTCCGTAGAGGTGACATTGTGCTGTTCAACCTCGTCATGGCCACACAGTGCGCCATAAGAGTATGTTCTTCGGGAATCGGGGAATAACATATTGGTTTTCTACCAACAATATAAACATGTACTTTTATTTATCAGAATCGGGCGCAAATTCTGGCTTCTGCTGATCTTGTAGATAGCAATGTGGCCAATAATGAGGAAAAAGCGGGAACAGCACCTTGCCAACTGAGACGTGTCGCCATGGACCACATTGTGAGAAAAAGAGATGTCAAACAGACAAACTCACAAAGCTGAAAAATGAGATATAGAATGGATGTGAAAACAGAAAAAGGAGTGATTGAATTAAAGATATGAATCGAAGTTCTTTTTGCGAGAGTGAAGTGTTGAATTTATAAATAAGAACTCAATGAATCAGCCGGGACAAAGTCCTAGTTTTAACGAGTTGTATTTTTCTTGACAACAAACACTTGGTCAGAATTTCAGAATTTGGAGTTTTGTGAGATGAAAAGCTTCTCTGCTTGGGGATCTGCTCAGGTTCACAATTCGAATGCGAGTGATGAAAATCATGCTGAATTTGGAAAACAGGAAAGGAGTTGCTGAAGGACGCGGATTAAGAAATCTATTCAGAAGATGTCCTCACTGGGCCTGGGAATCAAACTCGGGTTTGGTTCCCAGGCTCCAGTAGAAGCTCTTAGAAATTTCCCAAAGTTTTTTCCAACATAAACCCCCCCTTTTACAGGGTGTTGTGGTCGTAAATATGACTACAAAATCTATTCAGAAGATGTCCTCGCTGGGCCTGGGAATCAAACTTGGGTTCGGTTCCCAGGCTCCAGTAGAAGCTCTTAGAAATTTTCGGAAAAGACGATCGTTTTAAATTAATCTGGCACCGAATTGTCGGCATGCCAAAGTTTTTTCCAACATAAACCCCCCCTTTTACTTATTGAAACAGCTCAGAGAGGTTGTTTTGAGAAGTGAAAGTGGTAGAAAAAACGAGGATAAATAGGGTAGGATTTACAAGAGGCAGTTAGAACCGAGGCAATTTGCTGACATATGATAGCAAAAAACATCACAAAGTGCACTAAAGGCTGTGGTTTCTCAAAGTTTCCAGAAGGTTGGAGGTTAATGGTCTTGTTTTGCTGGCTCTTGCTGTCGATTCTTGACTCATCGGTTTGACTCAGTCTGGCAAGATTGTCCTCGGGTCAATTGTTCGTCATCTTCCTAATGGCCAGATAAAGATTGAGATTGCCAGAACAAGTGTTGGGTGTTGGTTGGTGGGAAAGAATTGTCGCCTCTTTGCAAAATGCAGCGACCTTGCCAGGGTAGATTTGGAGATAAATCTCCCAGGCTGATAGAAGAGGAATAGTCCCCCCCAGTTCAAATGAAAAGGAAAGGTTTTTGGTTTTCTTAATTTTGCAATGGCTGTTTTTAAGTTTTAGTTGAATTGATGGGAGACTTGGCTTTGTTGTGTTGTTCTTCTGATGTTCCTTTTTTGTACGCTGTCTTCTGTTTTTGTACCTGATATAATTATTTTGTGATTTTTTTTTTTTGATGACTTGTTGGTGAACTATGTTTGTATTGGGAATGAACTGATTTGACAGACCTTTCTGTTTTTCTTTTTTGTCGTGAAGTTTCAATAATGATTTCAATTTTGTAAAACTTTGCAGTTAGGTTCACAACAAACCAAGAGACCGAATCAAGTTCAAATTTGAGCAAATCAGTGGGGTTCTTTCTTGAGGAATTCTTTCTTTCTTTCTTTCTTTCTCTTCCCCCCCCCCCTTTTTACTTTTTGGAGGTACAGGATTCAGAACTCTCACCGGAAAAAAGTTAAAGTTTGCTTAAGCTTGCTCTTTGATCTTTGCAAAGGTTTTGATTGCGTCTATTTTGGACATTGCTACTTTCT